CCCACCCCCACTCTAGTCTTTTACGTTTTTACGCCTCCACCCCCTCCTTCCCGCCTATTTTTTTTTTACATTTTGTGCCACCTGCCGCCCCCAAAACCACCCCCACTCCCTTATTATGTTTCCTCCAGGTAATGATACCTTATCTCTTCGTGACCCGCCCTGTGTGGTGGGTGGCTCTGAAAGCTAGAGGTGGGCAAAATCCAGATAAACTATCCAGATAACCGGATAATTCTCAATAAAACATTATCCGAATTCAGACTCTTAACTCTCTTTCCTGACCAGTTTGTCGAAGTGGATGCGCCCACTTGTTGAAGTGATGCTAAATGCTAACCCGTTTGTCGAAGTGGTTCTAGCCCATTTGTCGAAGCGGTTCATAACATATTATTTGCCGAAGAGTTGGACTAACATAAATATTATCCGGATTTTGCTAAAGCGACTCATTGCCCAGCCCTACAGAAAGCTCGAATACTCTGACGTCACTAGCGCGCGCTGTGCGAGCCGCCTATCTCCCCTACGTAAATCAGTATCCTGCTCAATAATAATAAATAGTAACAGAGTACGTGAATACACATGTGTATGAGAATGCTCTGGTGATCTGGTTTTGTGCCTTGGTGATCTGCTTTTGTGCCTTGGTGATCTGCTTAATGCCTTCTTACGAGAGCTGGCCTGTCTCAGGGGAGGATCATGAATGCGCAAAGATCATAGATCTGAGATTTATTTCCATATCACAGCTCAACACATTTCAAAAGCTGACGGAGTAGCGAGTACGTTGTGGTTTGAAGCCTGCTACCCAAAAAAAAAAAGGAAAAAGAAAGGAAAATAGAAAAAAAAGCTGGAAAATAGAAAGAGACGTTGAAGGAAGTTCATATCTACGCCACCTCGCTTTTTTGTTTCAATTACGATTGGTCATCTGGAATAGCTTGACTTTTAAACAAGAATGAAAAAAGCCTTAAGAAAATACGTAAATGTACACGTCCTGACCTTTTTCTTGGGGTTTCTATTTTGTTTTCACATTTCAACTTGGCTACGTAGGGAAAATGTAGGTCATTGTTTCACCTTTCAATGATACTGCAATTAAGATAAGATATTTACATCTTTGTTGTCCAGATCCTGGCACATTTGTTTGATGTTTCACCACATACAAACACACACACACACACACACACACACACACACACACACATACACACACACACACACACACACACACGCACACATACAAACACACACACTCACACACACACAGACACTCACACACTCAAACATAAACACACACACACACACACACACACACACACACACACACACACACACACACATAGGTTTACAGCCACGTGCATAATATAGATGAACAGTAATTTAAACAATAATAATCTTAAGCTAGATACATACTCATGTTATTCTGGTGCATGCTTTAAGGTCATATGAATACTTACAACAAGATGCTTAAGGTGGAAGAATTTTGATGGATGATGGTAAAAATGACTTTCTGTATCTTTCTTTGTTGCAGATCAGAAGCCTAGGTCTTTTACTTCTGACTGATGTTTTTATTTAATTAAGGGAACAAGGGATGCTTGTCGTCTAAAAAGATGGAATTATTTTTTTAGTGCAAGCTGTTATACAATTCACAGTCGCACGTAGCAGACATGAGTTCGATTTCCGTGTTGGGAGGGGGGTGGGGGAGGTAACAAGTCTCTACCTTACAATACTAAGGGAAAGATGTATTGCTGCTCAGAAAGATCAGCTTTTTCACTTCATAGATCACTCAAAAGCTTTCGATAAGTGGCAGCGATAGCCCAGTGGACAGGCTAGTGGACTCGTAATCGTGAGATTGCGGGTTTAGGGGTTCGAGCCTCAGCAAGGTCCGACTTTGTATATCCCTTGGAAAGGCAGTTCTGACGGAGACGGACGTTAAACTCGGAGGTCCCGTATCTTACATAACCTTATAGTATTGATAGGGGCGTTAAACCTATACCATTTCACCATTTCACCATTTGCGTTCGATGAAGTCCGATATAATGAGCTACTTAAAATTTTAGAAAAGCTAGAAATAGATGGAAAAGCTCTATCTAGCGAATACAGCCTGGTTTGTGGTCGAAGTCAGCCTTCTGGATCATTTATTAAATTGTATCGATAGGGCTTACAACTTCCGCAATAACGGGGTTTTCTCCGCATTTTGATAAATGAGTTGTTTCCTATTTTGTTTAATATAGATCCTCCCCACTTTGTCACGTGAGACTGTTTCGCTGCTAAGTCCAGGGTCTATCGGGACTCGACACGCTGGAGCACGGCATCCCCGCCGAATATCTGGAAGGTTCCAGAGAGGAACCAGACTCCTCAACCTCCGTCAACGGTGGACATCAGACCATGACGCAGGACACAGCTGTCAACTCGCCTTCTGTCCATGGGCGTGGTCACTCAGGCGGAGCTCAGCCCCCTCCCCGCAGCCCCCGACACCCACAGGTCCGCCTCCGGAGGTCCCGGATGGACAGTAATGACTCCGAGCACAGCAGCGGCTCCGGTGTGTCTCAGGACTCCGGCCACTTAAACCCCGCCCCTGCCATTCATCTCATTCCTGGCTCCGCCCCTGCCTCCCGGGCCTCCTCGTTCCGAGAGGGGCAGCGACCTCCGACCTCCCGCCGCTCCCCGAGCAGAAAGAGTGGGGGCAGCGGGGGAGGAAGTAGCAACAGCAACATCAGCAGCAGCAACAATGCAGCAAACTCGTCCTCGTCTTCGTCTTCCAACAACAACAAACACCACGTCGCCAAAAACGCGTCGTCTGATGAGACAAATGGCGAAAGTCTCGGCCCTCGAAGGAGTTCCATGCCGAACGTGACGGAAAATTTCTTGACAGTCCCACACCCCGACGACGCTAAAGACAATCGCCTCAGACGCGTTCGCTCCTTCAAGACCACCTCAAAAGGGGGCGTGGTGAACAGAGGCGACTCTTTCAAGAAGAAGAGCACGCACAGCCTCATGTCCACCGGCAGCGCGGTGACCGACTTGAGACAACAACAACAACAGCAACAACTGCAACAGCAACAGCAGCAACAGCAGCTACAACAGCAGGAGCAGAGACAGCTTCTGGCGAACATGGTGAATAACAATTTGTTCACCCCGGAAGCCCCTCCCGTCCCGACGTACTACCGGGTGATTATGATGGGCGCTGCTGGGACGGGCAAGTCACAGATGGCCAAACAGTTCATGACGTCAGACTTTGTGGGCGGGACTGAGGACAGCTCAGGTGAGTTACTCTTCGGATGATACTGCAGTCCTCAATCACTTAAAGATCTACGTCTCTCTCTCTCTCTCTCTCTCTCTCTCTCTCTCTCTCTCTCTATCTATCTATCTATCTATCTATCTATATATGTATCTATCTATCTGTCTCTCTCACTTTCTTTT